CTTAGATAATTAGCCCCCTGATTCTTAAAGGATTATATCACTTTTTTGTTTAATAGTTGAGTCATCTATGCAAAGGAAATACTGCGTGAACTAAAGCCAGAAATCTTTATTAGCTACTGCCTCAAGAGCAATAATAGTGTGCCTTTTCAATTACAGTAAAGCTCTCTGGGAATGTGTGTAGGAGAAATAAGGTGCTGGAGGTAAGAGCAGAAGAGACAGTAAGCAGGGGCCAGGAATAGGGGAAGGAACTAAAGAGAGGCAGGAGAACCCCAACAGCAATCTTTACCTATTTAGAAGCTCACTGGGGTCCTGGCCCATTATTTGGTGTTCACGGTTATTCTTGTGAGAGGGAGAGCAGTAAAACGATTAAGAGCATGGGCTTTACAGCTAGCCTGCTGGATTCATAAAGGCTACAACTTGGCTCTGCCCCATCCTACCTTGGGAACCTCAAGGTAGGTAGGTATAATCCCTCTGTGACCCAGTTTTTTTCATGTATAAAGCAAGGATAATATAGGTCCCTGCATCATAAGGTTGTTGTAAGGATTAAATGAGTTAACACATATGAAGTATTTAGAATAGTACATGGCATAGGGTAAATGTTAGCTGTTCTTAGTATTTTTCTGTCTCACAAAGGTACTTAAAGGTACTCCTAGGAGCCACCAGGGCAGGAGTAAGGACCACTATATCCTGAGTATCCATGCTTCAGATACTGTATATAAAATATTTCATTTAAGCCTCACATGTTTATGAAGCAGATATTGCCCCTACTTTGCAGGTGAGAGAACTGAGTCTCAGAGAGGGTGAGACTCTGGCCCAAGGTCATAGAGCTAAAAAAACTGATAAAGTTGGCTATGGTATCCCATGTCACAATTTACACAGTTCTCTTTGGAAATAATAATGCACGCAAATGGTATAGACTGATGAAAACGATCTGGCACTAAATCTTACAGTATACTCCTAACCCTCATCTTCCTGACTCAGTGCTCACATTCCTCCCTCCCTCACTATAGTGTAATGTCTCTGTAGACAGCAGACTTTTAGTTCAGAACGTTTATACATGTGTGCACGCACACACACACACACACATTAACTGAACACTATATGAAACACAGCAAAAGGGAAGAAAGCAGTCCTATCCATTGTGTAAATGTAAAGATGATCACAAATGTAAACCATATAGTGAAAAGAGACGTGTGTGTTTGGAGCTGAATTTCCAGCTGGATGCACACAAGGAGGCAACTTTCCTCCATTATTTAACTGGAAGAAATTCAGTGAGTAGCCAGTAGGTGAGGCTGCTTTATCAAACCACTCTCCCTAGCACATAGATTTCGTTTACAAAAGTAATTAAATGCTTAAAAGAGTTCAGAGTCTTAAAACCAACATGATTGGGTTTCAAAGTGTTTCCTCACTGTACCTTCATGCCATGGATGCTAATAATAATAAATATACAAAAATTTGGAGGAGAGACAAAGAGCCTGGATAATTTAATTACTGTGGTAGGCAGAATTCTAAGATAGCCTCTAAGATTCCTGCCCTTGGTATACACTGCTTACATAATCCCCTTCTCTTTGGGTGTGGCAGGATCTGTGGTTATGATGGGACTGTCTCTCTTGATTAGGTTACACGACAAAGAGGAATTTGCAGATGTAATTAAGATCCTTATTCAGTTGACTTTGAGTTAATTTAAAGGGAGATTATCTTGGGTGGGTCTGACCTAACCAGGTGAACCCTTTAAAGAAAATGAGGCATTAGAGAGATTATTCTAAAGGTCTAGAAGAAGAAACAGACATCTATGTTGTGAACTGTCTATGGAGAGGGCTCTCTGGGAGCTGAGGGCCTCTGCCTTATAACCATAAGGAACTGAATTCTCCCAACAACCATCTGAGCCTGGAAGAAGGCTCTGAGCCTCAGTGAGATCTCAGCCCCAGAGGATGCCTTGACTGTAGCCTACGAGCCTGAGCAGAGAACCCAGCTAAGTTGCGCCTAAACTCACAGAGGATGTGGACCCACAAAAACTGAGAAATAAGTTTATGTTGTTTTAAGATACTAAATTTGTAGCAATTTGTTACACAACAATAAAAACTAAAACACAAAGTAGTCAGATCCTGAATTATTAAATAATTATTAAACAGTCCTGAATTGTTAAAACTTGGTTGCATAAGTGAAAGTATAAATGTATATTTGAGGTGGAAGATCTGGGGTTTCACATGAAAAATCAGGTGTGATTGAAATAATCTCAGAGTAGCTATTTGGAGATCCACTACTCAAATACTCACTAGTTGAAGGAGTGCTAAGATTATGGACATAACAATCGATTGCAGGGTGTCAAAACAGTTCCTGTAAGTGTAGGAAAAGCTGAAACTCTATTTAAAAAAGTGGTATTTTTTTTCTTTCTCTTGAAATAATAGATACTTTCATTGTACTATCATAGTCAAAAGATCATATGAGAAATTACAAAGCACTTTCACATGCAGATATTTCTGTTATGATGCAACATATATATTTCAAAAAAGTTACTGTGTTATAGAAATAAAGCAATAAAAATCACAGGTTCTGGGAAAGCTGGGGCTAGGGACATGATACTCAAAACTTTGTCAGTGATACACTAAAAAAAGATGAGCTGATAAGAAAAAGGATAGCACAGTTTTACACATGCCAAATGATTAAGAGATACAGACACACACACACATAATATATGAATACTGCAATCATTATGACAGTTCCCTTTGAAAAAGACCTTAAGTTTACTTGTGGATGTGGATGTTGGAAGGGCTGCGGATGGTGAGTTTTTGTGAAGTGCTGGAAGAAAAGTGATCTGAAATCAAAGGGAAAGTTGTATCACCAGGTGTGGAGGGGTGTGGTTTATAACACAGGTGGTGAACTGAGGTAGACAGAAAATGTTTGAGGTATGTGCAGGTCTGTTTTGTGTATTCCTTTTTTTAAAAATTTTTTTTAAAGATTTTATTTATTTATTTTAGAGAGAGAGAGAAACAGCATGAGAGGGGATAGGGTCAGAGGGAGAAGCAGGCTCCCCGCTGAGCCAGGAGCCCGATGCGGGACTCGATCCCAGGACTCCGGGATCATGACCTGAGCCGAAGGCAGTCGCTTAACCAACTGAGCCACCCAGGCGCCCTGTTTTGTGTATTCCTATGTGGCTGGGTTCAGCTGGGTGCAACTGGGTTCACCTTGTGTTTCTCCTGGACTAAATAGTGCATAAGCAAACGGAAATTCATGTTATGCTAATTGTTCTCTAATAATATATCATTTTGGAAAAGCTTGTCTTTGAAACAAGTGTTATAGTAGAATTGGCTGTCCATTATTTCATGTGACTCCTACAACAACAGCATGAAATTGGGAGGTAACCAAGAGGAAATGGAACTACAGACACAAAGCTAGTAAGTAGTCAGGTCAGATTGAACTGAGGTCTTCTGACTCCCGATTCTGTGTTCTTCCCCTAACACTCCAGGATTGCCCCTGACAGAGCCACCCAGGTGCCCTGCATTTAATCCTTATGACAACTCTCTCAAGTATATAATATTTCCATTTTTTGCAGTGTCAAAACTAAAGGTCTGAGATGTTAAGAAATTTGCCCAGGTTGCAAAACTAATATCAGAGAATTGCAAGTCTAGATGTTTCACAGCTCATGTTTTTTCCATTATGCCAAATTGTTAGCATGTATTGTATTGACTCTGAATGTTTTTATCTTTTTTGCCTTAAAAGTACAATATCTGAAAGAAATGGGCAGATGTTGGTCAAAAGGTACAATGTTGCATTTATGGAGGATTAATAAGTCTAGAGTTTTAATTTTAATGTACAGAATGATGACTATATTAATAATACTTTATTGAATGTTGGAAATTTGCTAAGAGAGATGATGCTTTCATTACACACAAAAAATGGTAACTATGTGAGGGTTAGCTCAACTCTAGTATATGTATATGTATATCAAATCATGTTGTATGCCTTAAATACATAATTTTTATCAAAAAATAAAAAACTACAATCTCAAAAAAATTTATATGCTGATCTTATTGCCACCAGAAGTTTACAAAGCATTTGTTTTGAGAACAGAGTCCAAAATATTTATAAAAAGTAAGAAAATTAAATTCCAGAAAAACAGGAATCTTGCGAGCAATTTTCACATTGTGGAAGCTGGTTTTCAGGTGATGGTAAGAAACACCTAGGATTGTTTCTTATTTAGAAGCTTCCTACAAGCATTGGCAACTTCTGGTAAAGTAAGGGTCTTCTTTCACAAGAAAAACAACCTGGAGGTACTGCATGCTGCATAGGGGTAGTCAAATCATACGAGTCAAAATAAGGTATCACTGCTCTCAGCCCCCAGAAGAACTTTGAAACAAAGAAAATGAAATTGCCCAATAAGGGTGATATTTTATAATCAACCAAAATAGAGCAGAGTGAAGTATAAAAAGTTTCTTTAAAGAGACAAAATAGCTGTAGTTTGATTGCACATATGAATATATCAAAATAAATAATGTGTCAATCAAAGGTAACATGATAGATAGTTCCTGTTTTGGCACATTCTGACTTGGTATTATCAACCTTTTAAATTTTTCATAATCTGAAGAGTATGAAATCATCTCATACTGTTGTTTTAATTTACCGTTGTAATGACTCGCGACCGTTAAGCACTTTTTCATATGTTTATCATTTGAGTCTTCTGTGAACTGAAATTTCATACATTATGCAAATATTCCCTCTATAATATCCAATTTTGCTGAAGTCTTCTAATAAATGTGAAAGTTTGTGTGCAGATTCTCTTGAACTTTCTGCAGAGAAAGCATGGCAGAGACAGAGATGCTGAGGAAACTCATTTCCTTTTCTTCCCAGGCACATAGCTGTACCACGTTAACCTGTCTCTTTTGCAGTTGTCTTGTCATGTGACTGAATTCTAGAAAACGTGATGTGGACAGAAATGGTGCTATAACTCGTCCACAAAACTTCCCACATACCAATATTCATTTTCTTTTACTATTTGCCAGCTGATTGGAGGGGACCCTGAGGTCCTACAGGAGGTCACAGATACAAAATGGAAAGGACCCTGGGTTCCTGAGTAATCCCGTGAAAGGGTGCCCAACGAGGAGCTCCCACATCGGATTGTAATTTGAGTGAGAAACTTACTGAGTTAAAACAGTGAGTATTTGCGGTTTATCTGCCACAGCAGCTCATGTAACCATTAACAAACACACTAATACATCATTTGTGAATAATGGCTATTCTGATTCTTCCTTTTACATTAATACTGTTTATTTCTTTTTATTTTCTTATTGTGCCACTTAAGAATTCTGTGTTCAATGTTGAATATAATTTTGATAGTGGCCATCCCTGTCTTCGTGAATTTCAAGGATATGTTGAAGTTTTCCATTAAGTATGTCTTTCATAGATAAAGTTAATTAGGCTAAGACATTGTCCTTCAATTTCTAATTTATTCAGAGTACTTTTCTTTGAATCTGTATTGAAATTTGTCAAATGTTCATCAGCTTCTAGTGATATATTTTTTGACCTTTGATCTGTTAATATAATGAATCATATAATAGATTTTTCTAATGTTAAACCATCATACAGTCCTTTGATCAATCTCCCCTGTTTTACATATTATTGTTGTCTGGTATTTTACATAAGAGTGTGCCAGTATAACAATATTTGGTATATTTTTATACCACCATAATTGGTCATTATTTTTATTGTTGATTTATATAGCCAAAACTTATTTAGTTTTACTTACATGTGTACCAATTTCTTTACTCACGACTCCTTTTTGTCTCATTTTTCCTTTGACTTCAATTTTCTTATTTATGAATTACATTCCTCAACAATTCTTTCAAAAATTGTTAACTAGGGGTGCCTGGGTGGCTCAGTCAGTTAAGCCTCTGCCTTCGGCTCAGGTCATGATCCCAGGATTCTGGGATCAAACCCTGTGTCGGGCTCCCTACTCAATGGGGAGCCTGCTTCTCCCTTGACCCCTCTCCACTGGTCTGCTCTTTCTTGCTCTCTCTCTCAAATAAATAAATAAAATATTTTTAAAAAGTGTCAGCTAGTAACAGATCCAATAAAGAAATGTCTTTATTTCATTTGTATTCTTGAATTTTAGACAGCTGGTTATAAAATTCTTTGACGTTATTGTATTCTATTCTGGCTTATATTGTTTCTGTTAGGAGTTAATTGAACACTTAGGTAGTCAGGGCCAGGGTCCCCAACAAGAAAACAGGGAGCAGGACAGCTAAGACAAAACTGCACTAGCATCCTGTTTTTCAGCTTAGACAAGACCACAATAGCATCCTGTCTAGCAGCTTCTGCAGAGGTACTTCTGCAAAACATCCCGAGACAAAACAATTAACCATAAAACGTTGGACACTATCACAAATTGAGGCAATTAGTCTCCAAATGTCAGCCCAAAAGACCATCAGCATATGAACAATAATCCAATAAAGTAGATGGGTGTGTGATCAAAGCCCTGATTGGCACACTTTAGCAGCCAATCTACAAGGGGCCCACACTCAAGATGCTTAGGATAGTTCCACAAAAGAGCTCATAAGAACCCCTAGATTTAAACGCCAGAACAGCAACCCTCTCAGGTCCTCTCCCTCTCCGGGAGCTTTGTACTATCGCTCAATAAACTTTGCCTTGTTGTCCACCACTCTTCGTCATCTACCTCATCATTCTTTGAAGTGGCATGACCAAGAACTGTGGGCACTGAGGGATAGAAATCCTGTAACATTTCTACTGAAATATCTGTTTTCTTCTTCTCCTCCTTCTCTTCCTCCTTCTCTTTCTTCTCTTCCTCTTCCTCCTTCTCTTCCTCCTCCTTGGTAATGTCTTTATCTTTGGTTCTTCTTTAGGTCTTCTCTTTGTCTTTGATACTCTGTGTTTCACTAAAGATATTGTGTAATGTGTCTAGCTGTGAGTTTCTTCTGATTTACCATGCTTAGGATTCTTGCCTTTAATCAGGTCTTCCAGTTATTACCTATTAAAACATATTTCCCCCCGTTCTTTTAATATTCTTTTTATGAAACTCTTATTAGATATAGGTTGTCTTAACTCTATAACTCTAAGTCTCTCTTTTTGACATATCTATGTCCACATAACTATATTCACACATATAATATATACATATATACATATAATGTGTTTATTCATATAGATGTATATGTGTGTCTATATTTTTTTAGTTTTTGTTTGTTTAGTTTTTATTTGAAGGGCTGAGAATTGAGGTAATAATGTTCCTTAGTTCATGGCACACTATCTGTATCAGTGGATGTACAGTTTTTCCCTTGGTTTTTTGTTTAATTATTTCCCTAACTTCTCATTCCCCATTCACATTTCTCTTCTCCCATAGGAATCTACTTAATACATTTGTTAGGTACTTTAAAATATATGAAGTGTAGTTTTTTTTTTTAAATTGCAGTATAGTTAACATACAGTGTTATATTAGTTTCAGATGTATAATATAATGATTCAACAATTCCACACATCACCTAGTGCTCATCATGACAAGTGTACTTGATCCCCATCAGCTATTTCACCCATCCCCCCACCCATCTCTCATATATAATGTAGTTTTGTGTGTATATATTTTAATTTACATAACTGTTATTATGCTGTAGCTTATTCTATTTCTCACTTCTTATATTCAGCATTCTATTTTTAAGATCTATATATATACTGCTGTGTGTTCATCTGGTTCACTGCTTTTTATTGTTGTTGTTGTTGTTTTGGGTTCACTGCTTCTAATTGCTACAACCTAATCGATAATATACATCAGTATATTTCACTTATCTGTTCTTCAGTTTTGGAAATTCTAACTTCCCACTTTACAATGTTCAAATAAGCATATTTTTACATGTTTTTATAGATTTTTATAGATCCATCTGAGAATTTCTCTGGGACATATACCTAGGAATGGGATTGACTGGTCATTAGGTATATTTTTGCTTATGCCTTTCCCTCTTATATTTCGTATCTTTTGCTAACTTTGGGGTAATTTATTTTATGTATCTTTCAGTTCATATATTCTCTTTATCTGCATCTAATAGAGTATTTTAAAAACCTAAATGATTAAGGAAATTGGTTAATTGAGGAAAATAGATGGAGAGAATGAGGAAGCAAAGCAAAGCAAATGAGAATACCATGACCCTTTGAAAAAAGATAAGACAGAACTTATTCCTTGTGTGCTTTGTAATTTTAGATTGTGAGTTAATAATTAGTTTTGAGCTCATCTGAAGGCATCCCATGTGTATCAGTCAGGAGTTGATCTGGGAACAGATCATTATAAATGAAATTGAGTAATGGATTTATAAGTAATATTATGCCTTGTGCAATGAGGGAGCTGGTTAAAAAGTCTTTGAAAGGCTATTGCCTTTGTATGTCAGCTAGGCAGGCAATCAGGAAGGAGAACTTATATTTGAAGTAAAATAGAGCAAGGACAAACTGGAATCCACAAGGTCAGATTAGAACCCATGAGGACAAATTGGAACTTGACACTATCTCTCACCATCTCCAACTTCAATGATGCTAGTGACTTGCAAAAGCCTGCACCCTTCACCATAGAGTTGCCCACACTCAACCCAGACTCAGGGAAGCCAAAGAAGGAAATCCAGTGGGAACTGAAGAACTCTGGGCCCAGGTGGTCCTCAACACCAATAAGGTGAGATAACATATTAGCAACAACATGTGCAAATTGCCAATGCTTGGTGTCTTATACTGACTTTCAGAGTGTAATGGCTGCTCCTTCATTTGTGCCTTTTATTTCTCAAGCTCATTTTCTTTGTGGTTGACTCCAACCCAAAAACATAATAGGAAAGGAATTCTGAGAAATGTAGTTCCAACTTACCTAGGTTGACTTGGTATAAATCCACTAATACTATGCTACTTTGGTTGAATGTATGAAACTTCAGAGATGGTTTGTTTACGTCTCTTAGCATCTCTGGCCTGGGACCAATTTTTATGTACTTTTTTTTCAGCTTAGAGCTTTCTAGATCAATAATTCAAATTTAAAATGAGTACTTGTCCATGGTTCTGGGTTCTCAAGGAAGACTCCATTCCCCTACTCTGAACCCAGGTTGAGAAGACTTCAGGCTACCTTGTTATCTCCCTATGCCAACAGGCAGATGGTTTTTGATCCATATTTATATTTTTATTAAGAGTGGAGCTCTTCTAGGGTCCAGACTATGTGGGTACTCTCAGTTCCAACTCCCTACCTCAAAGGGACCAGCTGGCCTTGTCTCCTCACCCTCAGTGCAAGCCTCTAGATTACCTAGAGGGCAGGGTCAGATCTGGGCTTTACTGCTCTCAGTTTCAGTTCTCTCCTAGTCTCTGGCCTCTGCAGTGTATTAAAAAATACATATATATTTATTTTATTTTATCTAGATTTTTAAAATATGTTTTTTTAATAGACATTTTCAGGCTAACTATTCTGCCATGTCCCGTGAATAGGAAATCTTTTGTTTTGTAACCAAAAATTTAAATGCAGAAGAGCTTTTTTATAAGTAAAGGATGCTTTAAGCAAATTCATATTTACAGGAGAAAAATTATAAATCTACAAACAGATCGATAAGGGGATTGATTTACAAAACAAAAGGATTCGCATAAGACTATTTAAAATAGCTAGGATCTCACAGTATATTTAGAGCATTTAGGAGAATGTGTATTGCATAAAGCTATCTGGCTTGTGGTTAAAGAAATGCTAAGATAAATTCTTTTGTAAAGCAAAAATCCTTTTTGTAAGGTAAATGATCACTCTCTATAAGTTTGTAAGTTTGGGTCACTGTGTATCTGGATTTTCTCCTTTGGCTTTAATAATAGAGAACTCAAAAAAATCATTTATATAGCAAGTTCAGGTTCAACTCTCCTGAGCATGTTTTTTCTATATTAACATCAAATGATCAAAACAACCTGCATATTTAAAGAATGGAATCATAAGTTACTTCAAATGTTTAATATGTGTACTTCTAAATAATTTCCCATGGATTTTGCTATTCGAAATATGTTGAAGACATATTTCCCACATGATTGATTTCTCTTGATATAATTTAAACACACAGTAAAAGATGTCTTGACCAGTAACATAATTGCTAATTCACTGTGTTTAACATTATTTATTGAATTAATAATCGTGAGTACTAAATGTTACTAGGTTGTTTGTACATGGATTTCCTTCACTATTTACTGGAAAACCTGTACTATAAACACTGAAAAAAATGAAATAATTTTCCACTTTCATCTAAATTGAATATGATGATTGCAGAGCTCATCTCATTGTCTTCAGAGTTTTAGTTTGATACATCATTAAATATTTTAATAGGGCTGGGGTGCCTGGGTGACTCGGTTATGCATCTGACTATTGATTTTGGCTCAAGTCATGATCTCAGGGTGGTGAGATCGAGCCCCATGTTAGGCTCTGCACTGGGTGTGGAGCCTACTTAAGATTCTCTCTCTTCCTCTCCCTCTGCCTTTCCCCACACCACCCCCCACCCCAGCTTGTGCATGATTTCTCTCTTTTTTATATATATTTATATATTTATTTAATAGGATATATATTTATTTATATATTTAATAGGATAGCATACAAGTTCTAGGGA